GTACCCGCCTTCACAAAAATGAGGTCATGAGTGGATAAATAAAAGAACAATCAAAAAACTCAGACTAACCGAAACATCTTTCCACAACTCTCCCGCTTTGCTAGCATAAGCTAGTTAACCAGGAATTGCATCTCCGAATTACAATCCTTTTTACATGTAAACTAATATTTCTGTGTCCGGATTAACGAGTGTTTTGTCAAGCAAAGTAATAAATTTTAAAGTTTGATCGCATCGCGTGTCTTCGCGAAACGCATCGCTTACGATATCAAAGTAGATACCAGGACCCCCTCTTGTCAGCTGTTGCATAACATTTGCACGTGACATTTCAGACGACTGAAAAGCACATGGTTTTAAAATGGCCGCGACGAATAAAAGATCTTCTCAAGGCGTCCTTGACAATTTTTTTGTCGTTTCAAAGAAGTCAAAAGGTGAGTTCTTAATACTTCACAAGTCATTTCTTCAACATCATAAACTTGCACTGGTGGATATAAATAAAGTATATTTGCATGTCTAAAGAGTCAGTGAACCGCGACGACCTTTCAATATAAACAAATCATCAAAATCGCCCTTCGTTCGCCACCGATTTCGCCGCTTTGTTTACTTCTTTTCGCCCTGACTATCACGCCCTTGTGTCTCCGAGGATGCATACAAATATAACTAATCAAAGACTGGCTCTTCTTTGCTTATTGTGACAACCTTGAGAGCTTTCAAGCGCACAGAATTACTAACAGTTAAAAATAAAACAAACATTGCGTGAGAGTGCGCGGCGTAGATGTTGTCCGAGGAACATTGCAGATTGCTTTCGGTTTTTTCACAAACGAGCCAGTTAAAATTTTAAGGAAAAGTTTTAAGGTTCTTTGCACTGTTTCAAGCGCTTAATTTTCTCGATATGGTTTTTTTAACTGGGTTTTTGACTGAAGATATGAAGCCTTGTGTACACATACAGTTTTTATGACTCTTCCAAAACTTATAAAACAAACGACATAAAAAATTACTACAAAAAGGTAAATGTAATTCTGCAATGGAAACCTGCAAAAAAATGAACTCAGCACATGCGACAAGGTAAGGCGTATTTTTTTTTTGTAATTTGTTTTATTTTTTTACAACACGTTTCACTTCTTACACTACTTACAATATGTACATTATCCATTACATGATATCGCTGTTTTACACTTACAATAACTTGGTAAGGTGAGGCTTATCCCTTGTTATATTGAACACTTCTTTGGCAGACAATTCAACAGTGCCTTCAGTACAAGAGGCTACTGGAGAGGCAGAAACAAAGTCTTCTAATGAAGCAGTCTCAGATACGTCACAGCGAGTAGAAAAAACTCGTGGGACAAATGTTTCTAAAGCAATAGCAGATGACATTATGTTATTAGAAATGGAGAGATGTGGACTTGCTAACCTGCACAACTACTATGAGTGCAAACAAAAAAGCTGCAAAGATTTCTCAGAAGAAGAAGAGGCCAGGCAGAAGAAGCTGAAGAAGAGACGATTTCATCACAGCTGGGTTGAAGAAAGAGAACTAGCCTATGATAACACCACAGGCATTTGGTGGCTTCTTTTCTCAGAAAACCAAGGCATGTTTTGTTTTCTTTTCTGCAAACATAAAACTTTGAACACTCAAAACAATGCTGCAGTATTCAGCACTACACCCAGCACAAGATACAGGAAAGAGGCCATCAGAGAACATTCTTTAACCAAAATGCATGAAGCTGCTGTGGAAGCTGAAATGAATCAGAGGGTGTCAATGTTTCATCAACAGTATGAAGAAAAG